CTGGCTCTCTAGTATAGGAAGTATGACTAAAAGAGGAACAACTGCTAAGTCCTGGTATAACAAGCAGAAAAGGAACAAAGTTAATTATATCAAGCATACAAGATGAGTCCTAACAACCACATCTCCTTTTTTTTATAAAAAATAAAAATAAAAATCATACTTGGAGAATGAGACTGTAACATGCAAGAGTTTAGGACAAAAACCTGCAGAAGAAGTATTCCAAGAGTTGCTGAACCAAATCTTGTTGGAAGCTCACCTTTCTCTGCTAAAAGCTACAAATACATTCATGATTGATAAGTTGAATTATCCATATTTAATGTCACACATGACAGTGGATTCATGCATGGGGAACACTTAAAATTAAACCTTGATTTCTTTTGAATGCAGTAAACAAGACAAGGTAATAGCAGACTAATGAACAAGGCTGGACAAAGAAGTTTACAAACCAAGAGATTGCATACTAGAGGAGGAGAAACATGATGGGGCAAGACTAAAGGATGAAAATGGCATGGTCAGCTACAAAAGAAACCATCTCTCTCTCTGTGTGTGTGTGTGTGTGTGTGTCTGTGTGTGTGTACCTGTGTCTGTGTTTACGTATACATTGTATTCACTACTATTAGAAGTGGGTTTTTTAAGCCTAACTCAACCCCACAAAACCGGCTTTTAAGGTGAGGTTTGCACCTCACTTATATATTATAAATTGGCCTTATCTCTAGTCGATGTGGGACTTCCAACAACTACAAAAAATAATTACCACAAGCTCTGTGTCTGTGTTTACGTATAAATTGTATTCACTACAAAAAGTAATTACCACAAGCTCTTCCATTCAGTGTTTTCTCCAAAACTTACAAACTATGTTGGAATGCGAATACCTTCATAAATATTTTTAAAAGCAAGAAAGTGTTTGTTAGTATCAAATTAAAACTCTTCAGAACTTCCTTGGATCTTTCAAAAGTCATGAAATTATATTTATTTTATTGAATGCATACAACGTTTCCTATTTATTGTAAATATTAAAAGTAAAAGTATTAGTGAAAAATGTGCATAAGTCAAAACATGGTGCTATTGTTACATCAGCATCATGTCTTTCATGCAAACAAGGTGAACAAATTATACAAACAAATACCTGTAGAACAAATGCAGAAGATGACAAAGACAAAGCAGCACCAATCACTACAGCTTCATCGACACTCCTTATGTTCACCTATGAATACGATTTTAAAATTAATTAGATAAAACAATGAAGCCTCTTCAAGTTTTATTGACATTATACTTTTTCATATCCAGACATAATTAATTATCTTTATAAGTAAACAATCATCTTAAAATATTAAGCTGTTAGATGTAGGTCTAAAGAGAGTTATATGTGAAACATGCTCCCAAATGCAAAAGACATTTAAGGCAGAGAAAACACACCACACTTGACTTTGAGCAGAAAATTTAATTTAATGAAATAGGGGCAGTGAGGAAGGAACTTCATAGTCCATGTCCGACAAGATGAGATAGGTTACATGGATAAGCCAAGCCATTGCTAACAAAAGAACAAAAGAAAGCCACATAGGGATTCTAATAACAAACTTAAAAACTAAAGGACCATCCTGTATCTGGTCAACTAGGATCTTTAAGAATGTGTAGGAGGTGGGAGCCACTTCCTAAAGGATCAAGTTTTAGACAAGAGCCTATAGTACTTACTCCTTTGACAGTGTTTCTAGTGTAAATGCATGTAGATGCATTCTGTCTATCTATCACTCACCAGAATTCTCTCAAAATTTAGAATCTTTACTATTAAATTTCTTACGGGAAAGTTTATGTACTCTGTATGTGTGCATTCTATCAGTCTCTGTGTCTCACCAGAATGACTGTAATTTATGATCAACTAAAGGGTACAAACAAAAAACTAGGAAAAATTGTTAGATATAGGAACCTTACCAGATCAGGCCTAGAGTGGAAAAGGAATTCCAAAATTTTTGTTCCAACAGCTCCATTTGGAGGAAGCTCAAAAGCAGTAAATGCTAAAGTAGACAGTAAAACCTACAAAGTGTTTAAATAAATATTAAAACAAGGACAGAAAAACCACAAATCAAATTTTATAAATTTTGCAAAAGAAATCAGAATGTTCCAAAAAAAGTACTAGAACAATTATAAAGAATGAATAACTAAAAAAATTAATCAATGCTAAAAAAATGATCATCTACGAGAAATATGTATTCTCTAATATACGTGAAGCTAAATGATGAATAACGAAATGAAAATGGCTTAGGAAATTTTTCTTTCCGTGCCCATTATCACTCCCAAAGCATCATACCTGAGCCAATCCCATTCCAAAAGCATACTTTGCAAGAGCTTTTAGACGTGCAAGTGAAAGCTCTAAACCCATCTCAAACAGCTGAAAAGAAACAAACATTTCTTTAGAGAAAATATACAGTATGTTTATCAGAAATTTTCCTGAGGATTATCACCATGAAATTGATGCCGGTGAGACTTTTAAAAGGTTCTTCCATAGCCACCAATCATAGTTTAATGTGCATGACACCACACCATAAAACAAATATGAACAGAAAAGTGGTTTGGATCAACCAATGCTATTGTCGAAATTTAAAAAAAAAAACAAAAAAACTAATAGGTAACCTATGAGTTTCAAGAACGATGTTGAAAATAAAAGCAATCAATGCAGTAAGTACTAGGAGTTGTTTCTTGGATTACTAGCTTTAATGATATGGAGCAATGAAAAAACAGGCTAATATCTAGGTGTTTTAGATTTCTAGTTTTTACAAAATAGAGTAATAACATGGCTAAAACTTGTTTAAATATTAGAATTTTAAAGCTTCATTTGAGGGAGACAGACACATTGGGGGAAAAGCAATAACTAGAGAAGCTGCAGTAACGTATCTTACCAAGAAAAGAATCCCCCATTCGGATAAAACTTTAACATCTGTAAGGTTTCTAATTAAACCAAACTGATTGAGTACCACACCAGCACAAAAGAAGCCAAGTATCTGAAAATAACAACCATTAAATTGATTTCAATTATTAATATAAGAAAGTAAATAGATAACTAAGCCTATTCCACTATTATGTGTGAGATTCAACATGTATGTTCACATTGTTTTCAAAATTTAAATAAATTCAAACTAATTTCTAAGCACAACAATTAATTGCAAACTAATTTCTGAGTACAACAATTATTGAAACTGAACTACGAATCTAGATCTTGACAGCGATTAGAACTGTAATCTCAAATTCATAGAAAAGAAAAGCAACATTCAAAATTTGTTTGTTAAATACTATCATGTTCATGAGAACACATAATATTGATAACTGATGGGAATCAATTCGTACACAACCTCCAAAGCAATATTTGTAAAAATAACTTGAAGACTAAGATTTTGTTAGGTTCCTGGGTTTGGAACCTAACTAAGAACACTAACAGTAGGTAGAAACACTAATGGAAGAATGGGGGCTTTCTATTATTCACCGTAAAAGAATCCTCTTTACAAAGAATGGGTTGGGAGCATAACCTCCCTGGTTGAGAGCATAACCTCTCTCTACAGGCTAAAGACATGACTTTACACAAAATACACTTGATACCCTCTACAGAGTTACAAGAGCTCTATTTATAGTAACTCTGACCATCTCCCCCTTTACAACCGACACCCTCACACCCTTAACCGCTCAGTCCTCAACCCAATCTATCCTAACATCCTAAATCCTAACATTACACCCCGCTGCAGAACAACCTTGTCCTCAAGGTTGGAACCAAAAAGCTTGGTCTCTTGGCTCCTCTTCATCATCTTGTTATCATATGAAGTGAACCCACTGGCTACTGCCCTCCAATTCAGGTCTGGAGGCTTGGGTGGTGGCAATTCCTCCTCCAATAACTTCCCTTCTTCCTGGATTCTATTAGCTTCCAGCATTCTGGTCACCTTTTTTCTAGAATCACAGGCCCTGAGAGAATGGTCTTCGAGGTCTTTCGTTGCTTTAAGCCGCTCTCTCCCCTCTGCCGGTGTATCAAAAACTGCAAGTCCCCTTTTTTGTTCGCTGATCCTCCTTTCCCAAGAATTGTCTCTTCCTTCCATGCTTCCCCCCTTTCTTGATCACTTCTTGATCCGTTCTTGACCCAATCTTGATCCAACATCGCTCTCCTAAGGATATCCGGCAGCTTCTCGATCCGGCAGTTTCTTGATAACATCTTGATCCTTTCTTGATCTGGCACCCCTCTCCTAAGGATCACCGCAAGTTCTCCATTTGATACGACAACGCTCTAGATGATCCGACTGCTTCCCGAAACGGCAGGTCGGACCAATTTGTTAGGTTCCTGGGTTTGGAACCTAACTAAGAACACTAACAGTAGGTAGAAACAGTAATGGAAGAATGGGGTTTTTCTATTATTCACCGTAAAATAATCCTCTTTACAAAGAATGGGTTGGGAGCATAACCTCTCTCTACAGGCTAAAGACCTGACTTTACACAAAATACACTCAATACCCTCTACAGAGTTACAAGAGCTCTATTTATAGTAGCTTTGACTTGCTCCCCCTTTACAACCGACACCCTCACACCCTTAACCGCTCAGTCCTCAACCCAATCTATCCTAACATCCTAAATCCTAACAGATTTCCAAGTAGTTATTTTGGTACATAACAAATACATCTGAATGGAAATAGATATTGAGTTGAGGTAGATCTTAGTATCTCCAATCTATAGTTATTCAAATCATCATCAAACCTTAAGTTGTGCATCCTTCTCATCTCGTGATGCTTGTGTTTGTCTCATTTAGTTAGAGAATGCCTTAGTTTATTTTAGCTTATGCCTTAGTTTATTTTAGCTTATGCCTTAGTTTATTTTAGCTTACCAAACTAATGAAGGAATTTAACTAAACTAATAATGTTGAGCATTAAATGACAATGAATAATGCTTACGATCATTGAGATGATAGACAACATAATTTCAAGAGCAAAACTTCAATAAGAAAAAGAGAAAAAGCTAAACTCCAAGAACTTCTTACAGGACTGGCTTTCAGTGACTTGAACATAGGCACAATAATGACGGTCACAGCCAAGAAAGTAAGAGTGTCCAATCCTAAATCATTGATTACATCAACAGCTCCAGCAACATCATAGGCTACATTTGTTTGCAGCCTTTCCCAACGCGGCCTATACAAACCTTTCCAACCAGAACTTAAAGGAGCATAGAGAGGAGGCTTTTTAAAGAAATTTTCTGACACAGAACTCCCATGAAATATCCAATGACTAGCACCATGTGGCAGTACCGGCACTTTCTTGTTGACAGAATAAAGCATAAAAATAGAATTTCTATAAACTCGTGAAATAGCATGAGAGCAACCCGGACTCTTCTGTTTGGTAAGGTCATATCCCTGCAGAGAAACAATATTCCAAAAAGAACTTATGCAACAAGCAACAATATGAATTAGATTATGCAACAAGATTAATTTACTCTAAAATTTTGATCCTAACTCCTCCCTCTAAACGGCCTTTTGAGGTAAGAGTTTCCAAATCTTTATTAGCTCTTGTCATACACAATCTCTAAGAAAGACTAGGGTTTTTCTCAAGAATTAAAGTTTAACAGTCAATTCTCAGTTCCTGTCTTCTCAATGGTAGGAACTGACTCTATTATTTGAATATGCACTGGATTCGATTGAACTTCAAAGTCTAAACATCTTCAATTTCTCTATTACTACATTATTGCAGAGAAATGTCCAAGATGGAAAAGAAATTTTCTTGCAGCTTGATATATGAACAACTCAAATAGCATGACCCTCCATACCCAACTAAACCAACAATGATAACCGACGAAATCATAAAAAAAATGCATAGAAAGAGATGTTACCTTAAAGCTTTGGCACCAAGCTAAAGACTCTAACATAGTGGCAGTGCTTACAAAGCAATGAAACCCAACTTGGGAAAGCTCACTTGCGTTTGTTTGTTCCGCTTATAGACACGAACAAAGAATTCGAAATATGGTGAAAGAAAAAAAAATGATCTTTTGAGTGTGCTGTCATTCGCTGCCTCAGAAAATAGAGGTGGAAAAAGGCACACGTGCACGTAGGAAGCTGTGAAAGGTAGAAAACTCTGCAGGAAATGGAAGGGTCGTAGAAAGAATTTGCATGATCTTGCAAATGTTGGAGTATCATTAATGGGATAAGAGTAAGTTTGTGTGAATGGGTGAGCACCACATCCACAAGAATTTCAGTTTCACTGATGTCCGATGTGGTTTTCGTGGATCACAAACGCTGTTCAGATTTTTAAAGTCAGACAACACGCAATTTCCATGTGGCTTTATTTTCCATGTCATTATCCCAAAGTGCATATTACATGCTGAAATTTAATTTTGGTGTATTTTGCTTCATAAATAATTTCTTGTTTTAAAATAGAAACATTTAATACTTCTATTTAATAAAATACAAAATTTTGATCCAATTTACATATTTACATTAATATATCTTTTCTGTTTTATTTCAATTGAAACTTGTATTCACCTATTCCTTTAAGCATCATAAGAAAAAAAAAAACTTTTGAATTGTGCATTCTTAAAATTAAAATAACTTTTAATTGAAATTTTTAGAAGTTCTTTCTCTTTAAGAAAATATTTTTCAAAATACATAATCCATAACTAAAATATGACTTTCGGATTATACATTTCAAAAGTGAAAATAACTTCTAAATTGTAAAATTAAGAAGTATTAGCTTCTGGATTAAATAATTTAAAAACTATTTTTGGCTTCCAAATTATATAATCCTGTGATGTTAGGAACAATTTCACTTAGGTCATAGATCGGTAAAACACCGACCAGATAGACATCTATGGAAGGTTATATAAAAATGATAAAGGGTTGAATAGTAAATATATGTGATGAAATTGAATAAGAGGTTAGAAAATAATAAAAAAGAAGAGGGAAGGCAGAGATGAGGGAAAAAAAAGATGATAAATGGCCTACAGATACTAGGAAGAAGACATATCTTTGGATGTCCTGGTTGATTATTCTTTCTTCTCGCAGTTGTTCTTCCCAGCTTGAGGTATTGAAGATCGTTTCAAGTTGCATCAGCCGCTGTTCAGAATGAGCCAACTCGATTTCGTCCAAATCTTCCAGTTGGCGAGGTGGTTGGTTACGAGGAATTTCGTCGAGTAAAAAAGAAACCTTATAAGATTGGGGCAATTTGTCGGACACCGGATTTTCAAAAACTTTCCTTTAAAGTATTTAAATGAAAACTGGTATAAATATAAAATTCATCGTCCACCACCTTCATTTACATAAGCTTATGATAGAGAGAGTTTTTTGGTTTCAAGAAAAAAAGCAAAAGAACACCTTTCTGGAAGGGGCAATGCCAAAATAGGCACAGAGGATCTGGAATGCCTCAGCAAACGCCCAACTATTTGGACACCATTTAACGGACTAAGGTCGATAAATTTGAGAGTTTATGTAAATTTATAGGGTCTTGTAAATTGGTTAACTCTTTAGACTTTATTTTAGATAAAAAAAAAATTATTAAAGTATTTATAAATAATATAATAATATATTATTATATGATATTATAATTTTTTTATATTTTTTATTGAAATAACATTAACATTATTATTAGTTGATCATATTATATTTTTATAATAAATTTTATTAATTTTACATATAATATTTAATATTTAGCATAATATATAAAGTGTATGAATTTTTATATGTAAAGATTTTGAGTCCAAAGACTTTTAAGTCTACTAACTAACAAAAGTCATATCTTACGAATTTTATTTTTCAGGACTCTTTTAAGTTATCAATGGAGCAACCTTATGCCTTACAGGCGCAGAAGGAAGGCGCAGAAGGAAGGCAAGAGAGGAAGGTGGGAGACCACAAATACCACTACAAATATGAGCATCCATGAACACGAGCAGCCACAAATACAAGCTCCCATGTGCGAAGACCGAATAATAGTAAGCGATTACAACGACAAGTATCACAACAAGAAAGGGTCAATCAAAAACATAATGAAGAGTGCTACTGAAGGAATGAAGACGGGGTTGAATAAAAAAAACACTCAAACCCTAATCGTAGAGATTTTTCTCCACAAATGTGTCCCAAATGATTGTTTTTGCTTAAATGTTTTTTATTTCTCATAGAACTTGCCAAATTGTTCAAACTCGCAAGTTTGACCGTGTGAACTGAGTCTACATTCAATTCTATCGAGTTCACTTGAGAAATGACTTTGCTTCCGTGTTGACTCGAAAGCCATGACTAAAAACGTAAACTTATGAGTTTGATAACTATGAATTAGAGTGACGTTTATCAAGGTTAAAATTTCCTTTTCTAGGTTACTTAAAGAAAAAAAGGCAAAATCGTTGTTTAAATGTTTTGGTTGAGTGGATTTTATCGGTTAGCTAGAACAAATCCCAAATTCTCTTTTTAAGGAAAAAATAGTCTTCTTGTAGAATATGAAAGTCAATAAATGATTCCAATATTGTTCAATCCAAGAAAGGTAAAATGGAAAATGTATTTATATAAAAGTACAAGAAGAAACTTACGGAGTAGTAAGAAGAAAGTGTACATTATATATGTAAGAAAATTAGACCAAAATTTCATATTTTTTTTAACGAGATAATCATGATTACAAATGAAAAAAATAATTGAACAAAATTGTTATTTGGCAAACTTTATAGTGAAATAAATAGAAGATACTTTTTCTAGTCAACTTGCATAGATTTTACGTGTTAAGGCAATCAGGAGCCAAATAATTGGGTCTTACTACTACAATTAGTATACTAAAGACTTCAATCTTCAATTTTGTGAAAGAAAGGGTGATGAAAAGATGAAGGGATGGAAGGAAAAATGCTTAAGGTCATGAAAGAGAAGTATTGATCATAGTTATAATGCAGTGTATCCCAGAATAACAATGGGGTGCTTCAAACTACCACAATCACATTAAAAATGTGAAAATTATATTCTTTAAGAGAGGACTCATAGGTGGTAGGAAAATGCATTGCATGAAGAAGGAATGAGATCTTAGCTTTAGAATGACACAAGCTATGTTAGTAAAATAGTGGTGATGTCTAATCCATTGTAAGATTATCTCATGGACCAACTTTATCGCATTGACAATGTTAACTAACTTTGTCATAACATTCATTACGTTTCTATTGATGTTAATCTTTTTGAATATTCATACCTCCTTCCTCATTATTTGTTCAGAAATAAAGACAATGTTCCTTGTGTTAACAATGAGGTGCATTGGTGTCTTGAAGACAATGATTTTGATGATGTTACAAAGTGAAGAATATGAAGACCCTTGTTGCATTAAGTTTAAAAGCATTTCTGTATAACAGAAGAGACCAAGACCGAGCGGTTAGGACTTAGCAGTGGAAGACATGACCGAGACCAAATGAGGTATGACCAAGACCGAGCGGTTAGGATCGAGCAGTGGAAGGCGTGACCAAGAGCAACCAAGACATGAACGAGACCGAGCGGTTGAACAATGAAGTAGTGGTAGGAAGAATTGAGTTCTAGCAACCCAGCAAAGGCATGACTGTGACTTAACAGTCACTAACAGATGAAGGCTGAACACAAGCCGAATGATGTTAAGTGTAGAATAAAATGTTAGAAATTGGAAGACAGAGAGAAGTTTAGCCGAACGATGGACAATGGTAAGAAAGAAGAAGAAGAGCACCGAATGGTGGAAAGTTGTGAGAAAGAAGAAGAAGGAAGTCGAACAGCAGAAGGCTGTGACGGCTAAAACCGAACGGTAGAAGGAGTTGAAGAACTAAAGCCTACTGGTTTGAAGAGTCAATATTCAAATTGTTCCAAGTCTCATAGATAATCGATTATCACTAGCAGTTGTGATATGTCTTTTCAGTTTCTGACCCTACACGAACCCGGGCTTATAAATAGAGGTCTTCACAGCTCTTAGAAAACAATTTTTCATTTTGAAAGTATTAGAGTTGTGTGCCTAAGGGAAGCTCTCTGTGAGTGAAAAGGAATCTATCCAATTTGAGACTACAGTGCGTCTGAGGAAGTTCTCAAGTGATAGTTTTTGCTTTTGTCAAACCTTGTGAATAGGAGATGTAAGATCCCTGAAAATATTTGTAATTCAGATACTAGATTAAAAAAAAGTAAAAAGTGAATAGTAAATTGTGAATAGTAAAAAAAAAATATTTTTGGAAGGGATAAGTATTCCACGTTGCCTTGAGTCATAAGAGATCAAAATTCATCAAATTGTAAGTAAAAAATTATTTTTGTAATAGTAAAATGAATAAAAAAATGAATAGTTAAAATGAATAGTAAATTTTTTTGCTATAAATAGCCAAGGGGGAGGCTGAAAATTTACACCAAAAAACTTAGAAAAATTTTGAGAGAAGAGAGTTGGAAGAATTTCTAGTTGCAAAGGGGATATTCTGGAAGTCTTCAGAGAACGAGGAGATTAAGTCTGTAATAGAGGTAAGGGGAGCTAACCTTGAGCATTTCGTTTCGTATTATCTTGAGTCTTGGATATGCAATATTTTGCTTTTGTCTGATTTTAAATTTTGAATATGAAGTATTTTGTTTCTGTATGACCTTAAAATTTGAATGAGAACATGCTTTTGTGTTTATATCCAAGTGTGATAGTTGTAAAATGTGATGTTGATTATGTTATGTCATTTGTATATTATTAGTTGTTTATTTTTGTATTTTTGGATGGATTAGAAGTTTCTACCAGCCTGGCCAGATCACACTTCTTGTTTCCCAAGCTTTGTGTTGTTTTCTTTTAATCTTTATTTTTGGAAGGACGAGAAGTTTTGTCTACCGGCTCTGCTAGATCAACTTCTTGTTTTCCCCATACCTTTTATTTCTTATTTATATTATATTTTTGGAAGATGAGAAGTTGTCCTAACCGGCTCTGCCAGATTCAACTTCTTGTTTCCCCAGAAATTTATTGTTTTAATCTATTTTTTTTTGCATCTTTCTGGAAGGATGAGAAGTTGTCTAACCGGCTCTGCCAGATTCACTTCTTGTTTCCCCTGAAATTTTTATATTAATATTATTTTGATGGTAAGGGGAGCTAATTATTTTTGTATAAATTTATTTTATAAAAATATATGCATATGAATGTTGAACTGGTGTGCTCTTGTGAAACTGTTTTATGACTTTTATTATATTAGGTGTTATAACTTGGAAACTGTGAAATTGTACATGTTGTGATGTGATGAATTTAATCTATTTTGAATGAGTTTGTTGGCTGCAATTGATCTTGTTTGGAAGGTCTGGAGTAAAGGTTCTGTAATAGCTTGTATATGGGTATTAAATAGATGTACAG